CTGGGGTAGCCTATACTTTCTCGTCCCTTTAGTGGCCATAAATGCATTGCAGAGACGTGGTCTCTGGAGCTTTGGCTGTCCCGGATGGCAGAACTTACAGCCCAGGCCTTGCCGGCCAGTTCAACTAAAGCTTGGGAGTCTTTTCTTAGGTAGTAACAGCAGTCAGAACACACACGTTATCTCATTTCACCCATGCAACAGGCCTGCGGGCAGGTTCCATAACTACCCCCATCTTACAGGTGAGGAATTACAGGCTCAGTGGATTCAGGGATCCTGGAGCTACTCCGCATGGTAACCTGGACCCCAACGCCAAAGCCTGCTTCTCCAGCTATGGAGCCTGGTCCCCAGCCTGTTGATTCACCTTTGCACCCCAGTGTCCAGCATGCAGTAGGAACTTAATAAATGCATGTTAGCTGAATAACAAATCAGCAGACCCAAAACTACATAATGAGTGAATCCCTGCACCTCGGTTTACTGTCCTGCAAAAGGGTCTGGAAGGCTAGACCAGAAGCTGTCTCCTGTGGTCCCTTCTATTTGTAGAACGCCAGGGTCACCCTGGCATAGTGCCATTCCAGGTGGCTTTCAGAGAGTTTCAGACTCTGACCCCTACTTTACACCCCAAGGCCTCTAGCTCCCTGCCCACATCTTCTCTGCTCCAACCCAGGAAACCCTTCTTCCCAACAGATTCAAATCTGCTTCTTCCTACAAAGCCTAGTGCCCTTCTCTCCACAAAGGCATTTGTCTGTCCACCCCTACCCCCCACCCCCACCAGCCCTGGCATCTTTGACTCCTCGGAAGTTCAGAACTTGTCGGAGCACATCTTAGAGACTGCCACAAAGTGCAAAGAAAGCAAAGCTCTGTGAAACTCAGAGTCTAGATCATTCCCAACACACGTGAAGCTCCCACACCTTTCCACTCAGGATGAAACACTGGTGCATCTTCCCAACGTCTGTCAGTCTGCATGTCCCCCTGACAATGTCTGCCAAACCTTGATACCAGCTCTACCACTCTGCAGCTACCAGTTTTCTTTAAATAATCAGCCTTCAGTTCATTCCTTTCCCCCTGCCTTCCTTCCTTTGAACTTACTCTCACCCTGAGCAATAATGTCTATGAAATCAGTCTACGTGCCTTTCTGTGCACCTGCTCAGTCTATTTACTTCGTCACTGGGGTAGGGGGGCTGCAGTTCGGGATACAATGGTTTCTAGGAGTCGACGTTTTTTAAGCCACAGATTGACCTTGAGAAATAACCTTGGTGCCTATTGTAATCAGTCTGCCAGAGGCAGGAATTTTAAATGATTTTAAATCCTTGAACAATGTTTCATGCTCTCTGATTTTTATCATCGGCAGTTGTAACTGGAAACTATAAATGAGTGTTGGACGCTCACTAAGACACCCTCTGCAGTTTTCCAAACACGGAGAGGCAGGTGGAGAGAGAGAGGTGGGGTGAGTGCCCAGACGCGGGCCGAGCTGCTCCAAAAGTGGCTCCCGTGGGCTGACTTCGCGTGGACGCGCGGCCCTCCTTCCAGCGGCCGGGCTGAGAGGAAACCTCACCCCTCCCGATTTTCTCCCCAGCAGCTGTCACCGGGTGTGAGTCGAACAGGAAACAGGATTAGAAGATTAACAGTGAGCCTGCCGTTCCAGCCCGACTGTTATCGCAGCCAACTCTGGACAGCCACCTTCCCGGGGACACTTGTCACTACCTGCTGCAACCTGGGAGTGGGACCACAGCCCAGAATAAATTTGGAATGGGAGCCGCAACCGGGAGTCATGGGGAGTCTCTCCCCAAATCGGATACATTGTATGGAGCCTGGATTGGCACCAAGCTCCCTCACATCCTTCCTTTAGAGCCCTGGAAAGCGGAAGCTACATTTATTTATGCCCATTGTACACATGAGGAATCTGAGGCTCTGTGAGGTCAAATCATTGGCCTAAGGTCACAGGCAGAGGAAGGACTGCACCCAGGTGTGTCTGACCCCCAAGTTTTCTTTTGGAGCCACTCGACTTGGTTTGCTGTCCTTCCCCTGAGCCACCTCCAGGGAACTGGGCAAAGGAGCCGGCTCACACTCCCCACCTGGCCCCTGGCTAGCCCTCTCGTTCCTCAGTGCAGCTCCTGACACAGCCCGGAAGACACACGTGGCTCTCAGGCCGGGCGGTTTGATCCTGCCTGTCAATTACTGAGCGCCCAGCTGCCCTCTCCCTCCTGCAGGGCCCACCCGCGAAAGTCACCTGATCAAACTCTCCCATCCACAACAAGGGGGTGGTTAGAACAGCCAATTCTGACCAGAGCAGAGTCAGCTGCCTAAAGGCCTAATCACTGTGTTTAGAACTTCGGGGGCGAGCCCCCAGGATCACTGACACCTGAGCTTTTAAACTCGTGGACCTCCCACGTGCGTCTCCGTGTGTAACGTCTGTCCAATCAGCTTCCAAAGTGCAGGGCCCAAGCCTGACCCTGGAGGGCAGCTACGGGTCCCGGGAGCAGACAAGACTATGTGCGCAGTGTGTGGCTGGAGGAAGCTTCTTGGAAGAAAGAAAAGCTACAAGGTGACCCTAGTGATGGGCAGGGAATGGCCAAGTGCAGGACGGGGGGGACAACGCCTGAGGCAGACCAAATGCGTTCCCAGGGCCAAAAATCACAGAAAGAATTACGGTGAGTTTCGAACGTGGTCGAAGCAGGTGGGAGGCACTGATGAGGGGCAGGACTAGAGGGCGTGGCCACTCTGAGGGGTGGGGCGTAGTCCATCACGTGTAGGAGTCTGGGCTTTATATTGAAAGCAACAGGCTTGGAGTGTTCTAGGTGTGGAGTAGCCTTCTCTGATTTGTGGTTTGCAAAGATGTCTTTAGCGGCTGCCTGGAGAATGTCCTGGAAGGGAACTGGACTGAAGTCAGGCGGGGATGGTGGTGATTAGAAGACACAGGCTGGCCCTGGCTGGTGTGGCTCAGCGGACTGAGCGCCAGCCTGAGAACTAAAAGGTCACCGGTTTGAGTCCCGGTCAGGACAGCAGCCCGGGTGGCGGGCCAGGTTCCCCACTTAGCGGCACGTAAGAGGCAACCACACGTTGATGTTTCTCTCTCTCTCTCTCCCTCTCTCTCTCTCTTTCTCTCCTTTCTCCTCTCCCCTCTCCTTAAAAATAAATAAAATATTTTTAAAAAAGAGAATAGACGGGCTGGAAGGAGAAAGAAAACTGAATTCTGAGATGAGAAAGCAGAATCAGCAGGACCTGGTAACGGGTGAAGTCTGAGGGGTGATTCGCAGCACCTTAAAGCCATGACCCCGTCTGCTCTCGGCTCTGTGGGAAGGAGGGAAGCAGTGGGGGCTGGGCGAAGCTCTTCCTTGCAAGCTAGAACTGGTGACTGTGTCCGGGCCCCGCTACACAACCTGGACCGTCACCTGCAGGAGCGGAGGCCCTGTCGATGGCTAAGCTGCCCGAACGGCAGGTAACGGTCAGACCGGACTGGAAGTCTGAACACGACAGAAACACGAACTTGGCCCTTGAGCCCAGGGCCACAGAGGGTTAGACCGCGCTTCCCTTTATGTGTTATTTGTTGTCAGCTTTTTCACTGGCCACAGACGAAATCTAACTCCAGTTTCAAAATGCAGGCCGAACGCCAAATTTTTTTAAATAATAATTTAAGAACTTGGCTCTTTTAGCCACAAAAACATCTTACTAATCCACAGTTATGAAGAAAACCAATTATGACCGAAAGAATGCATGAGTGTGGTATATGCGTGTACACCTGAGGATGATGTCTTTATTTCTACTAAAATATAGTTCATGTTCAATATTATATTAGTTTCAGGTGTACGATAGTCAATACTAACACACCTGATGAAGGGATCCCCACACTAAGCCCGGTCACCGTCACGCAAGTTATCACACTATTTCTGACAATAGCCCCCATGGTGAACCTTACACCCGCCATAACTTACTGCTTTGGTAACTGGAAATTTGTGCCTCTTAGTCCCCTTCACCTTTTGCCCTTTAGTTTTTTAAAGTGTGTAAAATTAGAAGTGGTAAGCCTGCTATCTGAAAACCATTTCCACAGCATGCATTTATTTCCAAAGCCGATGCTACCACCACAGAGCTGGGACTCTCTCTCTCTCTCTCTCTCTCTCTCTCTCTCTCTCTCTCTCTCTCTCTCTCTCTCTCATCTTCTTTGAACAAGCATGTCTGTCCCATCTGCCTGATTCTCCCTTTCTCTGTCTTCCAGAAAGGATAAGGAAAAAGGAAAAGCTTCCTAAGTGACCTCATTTTATTTTGAAACCTGAAACCCACCTAAAGGGGAGGAAGGAAAAAAAGAAAAGAACTTTTGGTCAGAGGGATCAAGATGTATTTCTAATTCTCTTGCCATATGGTAACTTATTTTGGAAGCATATCAAGAGGTGGAGAGAGTGTTTGACAAAATTGGCAATGCTTGTACAATCCCTTGAAATCAGACCAAATTCCCACTGTAGACATTTGCTCCAGCCCCTGCCATTCATCATATCAGCACCTGTGACCACGGGATATGTAAAAATAGGGAGCAATCTTTATCACCACCTCCCAATCCCCCCGGTGCCCTGAACACCGCGTGGTGGCAAGTTTGTCTATATTTCACCCCCAGAAAACCAAGCCATTAACTTCCCCTTTTCATTTACCAAGAGAGCTGTTGCCAGACAAAAAAATCACTCAGCGGCAGTGACCTTATGGGAAGAAAGAGAGGGGACTTCACTGGAAAGAGAGGGACAGCAAAGGAAGAGGAGACGAGCGCAGCTTCTGTCCCCCTGGCAGATGAGGGGTGACATTGTCCTGGACCTCCCGCCCCACACTTCTGGGACACACTTTGCAGCTTTGCCTGAGACAGGAAACCCCACAGCAGGGTGAGAGAAAGTGGGGCTCAGGGAGGCTCGCTCTCCGTTTTCTGGTTTGCTCACGGGGCCCCGTTTCCCTGTACCTGGTGGGCCGGGGGGAGGGTCGGCTCCCCTGGGCTCTTTGGGGTGCCCACGAACCCACTTTCTTACCTTTGCATCCTTGACATTCTGTGAAGTTCCATGTCGTCGCTGCCCCGGAATCCTTTGGCGAAAGGGTTATTCTCAATCTTCAACTGGGTGATCTGCAGGGAGGAGAGAGTTGGTTTACAGAACCTCGAGGCACGAGCTCAGGCTGTGTTGCAGAAACGCGCAGGCTTCGGCAGCCAGAAAAAAAAGGAGGGGGGACATGCAAATTAAGACAGTACTGTCACTGAGACCCATCAATCGAGTCAGGCCAAAGCTTTGAAAAAAATAATGTGCTAGATCAGACTACTTAGGAACAGAGAAAAAAACCTGGGTTCAATGTGCCCATTGATTAAAGTCATATCTTGTATCATTCTAGCGATTTGTTATTGCCGTTGACTTTCATCATAGCATTTTGTGTGCCAGACACCAACTCGGCCCCGTCGGTGGGTCCCCACCTCCCCTTTGGAAAGTGGAGCATGTGGGCAGGTGACGTCACACTCCCCAGCGGCGTCACAACCTCCATTCGGGAGGGCCTGACCGTCGCTTTCCAAGTCCCGATGCCTCGTTTCAGGTTCACATCATGGTTTCACAGAGAGCCTTCGCTAGCTCAGGTGGAAAATGGTGTCTAATTAAATAAACACCAACAGATAGAAGTAGAACATATATAATGGCTGTCCAACAGCTTCCAAACCTCTTTAATTTTTTCTTGGGTATTTTTGTTGCCAGGTACAAAATATAGCAATAGAACAGGGTCTTTGGTGCAAGGCCCAGAACTTTCATCTCAACCATGAACATATTCTGTCAGTGTGAGTGAGCAGCAACAGGTACAGATGAGAGAGGGCTTCTGTAGAGCCTGCGCCAGAATTCCTTCCTAAAAACTGTGTGCCAATTACATTTTCCTACATCGCATAACTCTACAGACTCCAAGGCGGCACCCCTCGGGGCTCGGTCACTCAGGGCTCACCTTCACCGTCATTGTCCTCTCTCCATGGCACCTGTGCACTGGTCCACTTAATCTTCCTACTTACATCTAATCCCCTTGTACTTAAATGCATTTTGTACAAAGCGCTGTATCGCTTCTCTGTATGTCAAGCCAGAATCACTTGCTATTCAATACAAAGGAAACAGTGATATCAAATTCTCTCTCCTGGTGCCCACTGAGAGCTCGGAACGCCAGGGCCTGCTTTGCCTTTGTCCCAAGGTGGGGAGATCAGACACCTTCAGAACAGAATGTAACACAGCCGCACTGACTAAACTGAGCCTGTCTCCCTGATTGTCCGATGGAAAGATTCATCAAGAGAAAACAAGCTGCTGGGGTTCCATCACAGTCAAGTAACCGCCCCCCATCATCTCACCTACCCCCAGGAGTATGGGTCTGGACCTTCAGGAACTCTGTACTGCGGGTAATTAATGAGGCTGCCCTCTAATTTGTCCCTTTGGGGGCAGGCATTCTGGTACGTTCTGTTTTCTAACAGGGATGGCTTATTAGGGTCTTCTGCCCCCAACACTCTAGAATAAGCACAAAATTACTCTATATATATACACGCAGGTGCGTGTGTTCCTGATGAAAAATTATGTAAATATCGCACTTACAAAACGTGTCCCACGGCTGCGATCATGGGACACTTTAGAAGAGACAAGAGTGTGGAGACTGTGGGAAGGTGAGCGGTGGGCAGGACGAGAGGGGGGGAGGGCGCAGCAGGGGGGTTTCAGGCCAGTGACACTGTTCTGTATGCGGCTGGAATGGGGACGCGTGTCATTGAACCTCCATCCAAACCCCCAGGACGGATGCCACCGAGGGTAGACTGGACTTAGGGTGACTGTGATGTGTCAGTGTCGGTCCACTGATTGTGACCAGGGTCCCGCCTGGTGGGTGCTGATCGTGGGGGAGGCTGTGGGTGGCGGTGGGGGAGGGGCAGGTAGAACATCTGTGCACCCTCCCGCTCAACTTTCCTGGGAACCTAATACTGCTGTAAAAAAAAAAAAATCCATTGAAAATTTTTCTAACACAGGAGGGGGCAAAAGTAGGTTTACAGTTGTTTGTAATGGAACATGATACAATAATTAATAAATCATAAGACAAGTATAAACTCTGTGCGCTGTGTACTCACAATTATAAACTACTTTTGCCCTGTGTGTATGGGTGTTTATGTGTATCCACATTCCCTCCTCCCTCAGTTTTTAAAAAATTGTACCCATTCCTGCAGCTTTCTGATTTCAACTTGACTTCAGAATGAGCCAAAAAGTCGACAAAGACCCCCTTTAAAAATGGTCTTTAAAGCTTGCACTCTTGAGTCCAGTTCTATGGTGAGTATAAACGCCCATCACCTAATGGGGCTTTCTTTCCCACTCAAGTTTTCTCCCGTAAAATGCAACCAGCTTGACCATTAACCATTTGTTTTAAAAGAGGTGGGGGGCGGGTTCTCAAAGCTCAGTACAAATTAGATCCTTGAAGATCAAATTAGAAAAGGCGGTCTTGACCCACTCCCCTGTCCCCATCCCCTGCAGTCCCTGAAGCCAGACCCTGAGAAAACTGCAGATAAACCGGACTGTGGCGTCAGGTCTGAATTAACACCCAGCCCACGAGGTTCCTCTTCTACCAAGAGCCCAGGACAAAAATGTTACCCGAGGAAGAAAAGAACAGGGTGGATTTTGTGTATTTTATCAGATGAAAGCTCAAACCACTTCTTGCTCCTCAGTTTACTTCTACCTAATTCTTGCCCTTACCACCATAGCTTCCAGAAATATGATCGTACAAGGTAAGCATGATCTGCTGTACAGGCACTTAGGTGTATTGATCTGGCATGTGTCTTGCTTTGGAAACTGCGTATAGATGCCTGTGGGGCGTAAGAATTACCCTGGAGAAATGTGACCATGCCAGCTTAGCTGTAGGTGAAAATGTCCCTCTTATTCCATAATAAAAATGCCTTCTTTATTTCAGTCCATGCAATAATCCTGTCCTTGAGCCTCCCTTCTCACAGGCTGTGTGTCAGCTTGCTCCCTTTTACGGACACACAAACACACAAGCCAATATACACTGTGATGTCTGAGTTCTACCCAAAGGCGCGCCCCTGAAACAGACTCCCACCGGGTCATGCCAGTGGACTCTCTGGGCCGAGAGCTTAAAACCGGATATCCGGGGGGGGGGGGGAGGGGGGGAAAATACGAATATAAATGCCAGCTCCAACCAGTGAGACAGAGGTTGTAAAAATTAATGAGAATAATTGTTGTGAATTCTTGCTTTTGAAAAAAAAAAGAAAGAAAGAAAAAACCCTCACGAGGGCCAAAAATCTTAATTATGTCTCTCTATTAGGGGTTCATTTCCTGGTCCCAACCAGAAAGCTCATACCTCATAAATACAGGCTCCTTACACAATGATTTAAGTGGGAGGAAAATGCCTTTTAATGGTAGAGCAAGTTAATATCGGGGGATAGCCATGCTCGCCGCATACACAGCCATTGTTGCGAGAGCAGGGAAATGAAATGCCCACGTGACCTTTTTTTAACACCTAAATATTTCTAGGGGTCGCTCCCAGAGCTGCTGACAACTCCAGTGAAAACCTCACAAAAACCTGTTTCACGGAGCAAACGTCGCTGGGGAAGATTCGTGTTTTTAAATATCTTTTTCAAGCTGTCGGCCATCTGGGGAAATAACTCCCAAATCCAGCCTCGGACCGCAGCTGGGCCGAGGGAAATACCCTGTGCCATTAGCAGACCGTGGCTCACCAGGGAGTGAAGGCAGCGTCAGCCGGGGACTCTGCCCCGTCGTACCTGCCTCCCCCTGGTCCTGGCACCCAGGTGGAGACCGTGGTCAACAATCGAGCCCCTCCGACCCACCCCCAAAAGGGGTGGCCCCTCTTTTCCCAAACTGCCCCGGCAACCAAATCACATGGACCATTTTTCTTTCCCTGCTCACTCGGCCAAAGCAACGAGGGGCGAATGGTCCTGAAACTGGACTAACAGACACGATCGGTGAACGAACTGAGTCCCGGAGACTAACCTTTTGCGGTTTTACAACCACAGGAATAGGAACTTATTGAAAAATCTCAGTCTTTCAGAGTCTAAAACAGTCAGGGTAGCAAAAAGTTTTCCAGAGGCCGAGTTTTGGATGCAGTCGCCCTGTGAGTAAATTGATCGGTTACCGAGTCAGCCAATGGAATCGTCACTGGCACACTGTGCTCGCTCTGTGCCGGGGTCCGCCGGACACCCGTCCACGGGTTATCTCACGGAATCCTCACACCGGTAATAACAAATGAGTCTCTTACTATCCCCATTGTACACATGGCGGAAGCTGAGTGAAGGAACTTCTCCAAAGTCCAATGGATCTGAACCCAGGCAGGCGGCCCCTGGAGCCCCCAACCTTGACCCTACACTCAGGTGGCTCCTACCCATAAAGTCAAGGGTCTCAACACCAGGTCCAGGTGGGACAATAAAGTAACAAGACAGAGTAAATCACACCCCGGCTGGCCTGCTGGTTTAAGTCACAGGTCATATATCCACGCGGGGAATGTGTGCAGCGGCCCTGGACTTGAACTGGAAAACTGTACCACTTGAGACTGTCCCCCTGACGAAGCAACTAGGTGCCTTCCGTGCGCACAAGGGGAAAGTGGGGGGACCCTCACACGGGGGAGAGCGACGGAAAGCCGTCTGCCACGCAGTCCCTCTTCCAGCAGCCAGTCTGGCTAAAAAGACCTGTATGTACAGCTCAAAGGGGTTCCCGGGACCGGCCAAGGAAGAAAAAAGGCAATTGCTGTGTGTGGTCATCAACTACTCAAAAACCCAAACGTGTGTCTGGAGGGGCACGTTTTCTGGACCCGGGAGCATTTAGACAGTGGACGCCCCCACCCCCAGACTCCGCTCAAAACCCCCACACCTGCGTCCCGCTGGGCGAGCGCGCCTTTGCGCAGGGAGATCACTAGACATACCCACCGGGGAAGACCTTTTTTTTTTTTAAGTAGAAATTTGGTAGACTGAAATTTATAGAATGTTCGTGACCAATGTTAGCCCAACAAATTAAAAAAATTTTTAAGCGAGAAAGAATAGAAATTTGGGGAGGGTCCTGGGTACTGTCTCTAGCGCTCGGAGTGCTGGTTTCCGAGCGCATACGTGTTGAACTAATCAAATCGGGTGCTTCCAAGCTGTAGTTTATTGTCTGACAATTATGACTCAATAAAGCTGTAAACAGAGCAGGAGAGAAACGCCCCCTGATCTACCCAGGCCTGAGGGACCCTAAGACGGTAACTGTACAAAGCCAGTGAGTTTCCCCCAAAGGATCTGACTGTCCCCATGTTTGTCTAGCAGGTCACTGGCCTATGTCTACCACTTCCTGTCCTTTCTGTATGAACCTGGGCTTTCCTGGGCCTGGTGGGGGGAAGACTCAGCTTATTTTTGGAGCCTCTCTCTGGGCTGGGAATACGTATATACATGGAAAGTAGCATCTTTGCTGCTATTTTTTCCATTTTGCATCCTTCACTGTCACCACAAAGCTAAACACGGGTTTACAGCAGGGACATGGAACACAGGTTTCTTAGCAGCCAGCCTCAAATCTGCCTGCAGTGGTTCTGCAACTCTCAGGGCATCCGGGGGTTTTTATGTTTTTAGCTCTTGTCGGTTCAACAAATGGGGAGAACTCAGAAAAATCCGCTTGCCCCTTGAAAAAGTAATTGCGTTTGGGGGCAGAGCAAGTTTTCTTCTGGAGAGAGAAGCTCTCTCAAGACCTGGGTTCCCAGACAGGCCTTGTGGCCTACAAGGGACCATCCATCACAGCTTGGCCTGGCCGCTGACAATCTGAATTTGGAGGCGACTCCACAGCATTTTGTAACTACCCTGGCTTCACGGGTTGTGGGGTGGGCGTGGGGGTGGGGGGACTGACCCCCAGTCTGCACTGGAATGAGCTTCACTGGGTAACTGGAGGCTGCAGGGTGCTCTCGCCCAGCCTGGCTCCAGGGCCCCTGTAACGCCCTTATCTTGCAGGTGGTGATAGGCACCGTGGAGGGGGAGGGGCATCGCCATTCCCACATCCATCTCCTGAAGTTGTCCACGTGACCCGCCCTCACTGATCCCACACGGAATGCCCCACTTCCCGCTGTAACAGCCCTCTGACCCCAAATCACCGCTTAATACTCTCAACAGCCTCCAATCCCACCGAGGCTGCGGCCCCTTCCCAGCGCCCATATCCTGCCTTTTCAGATTCCAGGTCTTTCTTCATTACAAGCCTTAGAAATCATTCCGCCAGGCCCCACCCCCAACACAACGGAGCCACGTGCCCTCGGGTTTCTAAACAACGGACATCGACCAGGACAAGTCAAGACAAGCCTCTGCCTCTTGAGGAAGAATAGGGGGTGCTCCCCTAACCTGTGGTGGTGGGGCGCCCTGTTCCATTAGCATTGTCAGGCTTCCAAATGCCCAAGTCAGAGGCTGGATTTCCAACAGGGTGGGTTCTGACTTTGACACAGTCGGTCTGGCGACGTGGCAACGTCCCACCTCTGCCCCACTGCAGCGCCTTCTCCCAGATGAAGCGTTGACCACATGCAGGCCGCCACCTCACCAAGCTGTGGTTTTGCAGGATCCTATCTGAGTCCTGGCAGCGATGGTCCAGGCTGCTGGTGGCCATGCTTGCTTAATTTTGTTTTTGTTTTTCTTTTAACAATGCAAACCTTGCTTTAGCATGTGGTCTGGGGGCAGGCGGGGGCGGGGATGGTCAGAAGTTGCTGAAACCCATTATAGACGCATCTGGAAAATCCAAGCCCAGGGTTTCCGGCAACTTTGCCACCTGCCCCGATGGAGGTTGAAATGCATCCAAAAGGCAGAGTGGTGGAAAGAAGGAGGCATCTGGACAGGAACGTGGCCCCAGGAAGCGGAGCCCCAGGCTCCCACCCAAGTGTATGGAGTCAGGCAGTGAAGTGACCTTTCTTCTCACGGACCATTTCCTGAGTGTTTCTGAGATGCCTCCTGTCCCGTTTGAGTGTGCAGACATCTAGGGCTTGATCAGCTTGTTTCTCACCTGGGGACGTGCGTGCGTGTGCGTGTGCGTGTGTGGGGCGGGGGCCCGCCAAAGTCGGGACTAGAGCACAAAACAGCTACAACCTTCAGCCTGCAGCTCCGTCCCAGCTACACGCCGCCCCTGGGGGCAGGAGCTGGTGTCCGCTGTGCAGACTGCAGGCGCCCTTAGCTTGAAGTCGCGGAGGGAGACGCCTTCAGCATCATGCAAACGAGCGGGCAGCCGCAGGCACGGCGGTTCCTGGGTGCCGGCCTTACCTTGTGATTCTGGTAGGAAGTCACCGCGATAAACGCCGTCTCCGGAAAGACGTGGGTGCAGAAGGCAGTGTTTTTTGAGCCAAATCCATTATTTTCGTCCGCTTTCACGATGTGTAATCTGGGCTGGTATTTGTGCATGGAATTTAGAATAATCTAAAAACAATAAAGAACATGAGATTGTAAGAAAAATGAAAATCCCTTTGTTTTCAGATAAAACCTCGCTCTCCACCCCCCAAAATTAGCCTTTTCGTATAGGCTCTCGGGGGAAAAAAATAGTCCGATTTTTTTCCCTCCTGTTTTGAAAAGGGTCCAGTGATTTCATTAAAAAGAAACATTTCAAAAATGACAATTTCCAACTGAAAAAGCCAGGGTAATATTCCAGGAATCTACCCAAAGCACACACAGCAGTAAATCAGAATTCTTAATAAAGTTTGCTTAATAAATTAACTCCCTACGCAGGGCACTTGCCGCCCCCAACGGGAGCAAGGGAAGTCGGGAGCAGGACAGTGGCGCCCCTGGGAAGCCTGGGTGACAATGTTCGGAATTAAAGGGGAGAAGAAACAAACAAACAATCAAAGATACAAATCGCCCCCCCCACACACACACACCAGAAAAAAAACCGTCTAAGAGATGCAAATGAAGAGACCAAGCTTTTGCAGAACTGAAATAAAAAAAATCACAGGCTTGGCCCTTTGTTTGGAGAATGTGTGAAAGTCAATGAAAAGAGAAAAGGGGGTGTGGGGGACTCTAAGGATGGGGAGATGATGGGGAAGTACCCCCACCCCACCCCACCCCACCCCACCCCCTTCACCACCAAACAAGGGCCTGGTTGCCCTGAGATTCTTTCTCCAATTTTATCAACATTTCAGGATCCGCAGCTTGGAATCATCGCCAGGCTCGGCCCCAGAGAGAACTGCCGCCTTCACTTTCTTGGGAAACATTCCCTGCCTCCCGCTCTTCTGTCTTCTCCGTGTTTGGGGTGCTCCCAGGGACAAGCGGGGTCTGAGGGATGTAGCTGGGTGGCTGTGACCACCAGGGTCAGTACCAGGCAGGGGGCCTCCAGACCTGTTCATAGGAGAGGAGCACCCCCACTAACAAACTGGGGGTGTTGTTCTGCTGGCTGACGCCTGGGTTTGACATCTCCCGGAGCCTGTTAACACTAATTGTCAAACCCTCCTGATCGGTGCTCACCGAATGGGTGAATCGCCGAGTTTAAGGGGCTGAAGGTCTGCCCTGCGCTTTTCCTACGACGGAAGGCTGGCGCGGGGGAGGTTTGCGTTGATGACCCTGGGGCAGGGTTCTTGGGCCAACCCCAGAGGAGTCCTGGAGGAGGGGGAGGGCCCGGTGACTCCTCCGGATCCCGGCCTCGCGGCTCTAATCTCCGGCCTACACAGCTCGGCTGCCTGCCTTGCCGATAGCGACGCCGGCTCTGGGCGGCCTGGCGACAGAGAGACGCAGCGGGGCCCCTCGGGCCGCCGCAGCCCCCGAGTCGGCGCGGCCATCGTCCCGGCTTAGCCAAATTGCTTTGACGGCCGGGGACAGTGTGGAGACATTAGCGGAGGGCGATCTAATGGTTCCTAATTTCATTAGGATGGCTGGGGACTCGAAGTCTGGAGTTTGGTGTGGGTTTGCGGGGCAGCTGCGGAGTCCAGAGCAGCTCTGAGTGCGGGCTCTCTGTCCTCCGCTCTAAGAGCCCGAAACCCGCAAGGGTGCCGGGATATCTGAGGTGGGACTGTGTGCCTCCCCCGCCCCATGCAGCGCGACCCCAAAGGCGCGCCCAGAGCCCCAGAGGGAAAAGGCTAGGAACCCAGCTGGAGCTGGAGGGCAGTCCTGCTTCCTGCCATCAAGATCCCAAGCAGGACCCCAACATAGGGTCCCAGCCTCCAGAAGGACGCCAGGCAGCCGGAAGATGAATGCCCGGCCTTCACAAAATACTCCTGCCTCTCCCCAGCGCTTAACCTCAATGACCCGTTCAGTGCCCGCAGGGACACGCCCAGGCCCTCTCGAGGTCATTGTGGTTCTGGGTGCACCAGCACGCAGGACTCTGCAGACACAACTCCTTGCTCTCAACGAAAAGGAGACCCTCGTTTTTTCCCCATAGAAACGGTCCCCTCTGCACCTTTCTTTAAGCGCATGGGGCGGACGGCCCCTGCCTCTAAGTTCCCACAGCAGCAGATTTCTCATTTGGGCCTTCACAACGGACCTCTGTGCCCGTCAGACCCGCTCGCACCCAGTCCCCTCCAGTCTCCAGTGGGGACCATGTTTCTGTCCATTCTCGCCGAGAAGAACACAACAGCATAGGAAGCTCTTTTGGAGTTAGAGACCCACCCTCGAGTCCTGCCCCCAAACACAAGCTGTTTGACCTCGGGCAAGTCCCCTCCCCCCCTGCCCTGGACGCCCAGTTCCAAAGGCTGCGTGTTTCTGTTCTCCGGGCACCCACCCCCGGCCCCAGGCTGCTGCGAGGGTCAGGGTGGCATCACCGACCCAAGGATTCCAAACACTGAGTTCGGGGACCGGGTTCCATCCTGGTGATGAATTCTTTCCGCCAAAGGGTTTGAGGGACACTCTCCTAGAAGTCAGTGTGTTGCTCTTCGTTTGTTGTTCTTTGGGGAAGAGAGGGTGACGCCCTCTGGGACATTTGTTAAAAGCTACACATCTCTGGGAGGGTGGGGCTGCCACTCCATATCCCGCGTGTGGTTTCAGAGGCTTTCCCGGGCCCCTCTCTCTGGGGGCCGATGGAACCCCGGGTTTAGGACCCTGGTCTAGATTCGCCTGCTCTGGGCATTGCTGGGGAGAGGGGAAGATGGAAGCTGGAAAAAACTGGGTCTGAGAGTCTCGAGCTAAAAGGAGGAGGGTTCCAGAGTTCACTTCCAGGGCGCTGGTGTACCCACCGGTGGAAGGGTCAGGTGTCCTGGGGTCTTCCTCTCTGTGGGAACACCCCAATCCTAAGGCAGGTTTTGGAAGCCGGTGGGGAAGGTGTACCGGCCCCCACCATGGTCTGGCCCCTGTGCTGTCTGTGCTGTGCCCACTCGCTGTGACAATGCTCTTTTACACAGGACTGCAACACAGCCCCCCAACCCCCAATCACAGATGGGGTGGGGGCACAGACCCCCAGGTCCACCCGGGATAGTGCAGCTTCCGTCACAGCACGATCCCTGCCCCAGGGACACAGTGTGAGCCCCAGGTCACCCGGGGCTCCATCTCCATCCACCTGGGGGGAAATACAGACCGGAGGGGGGATAGTGGACCACGGGGAAGCCTGCAGTGGGGCGGACCTCTCCGTGGGGGAGAGCTGGACTCGGAGAGGGAGGAAAGAGACCCAACAGCTGAGTTCGAAATGAGAGAAATGAGAGACAGGAAAGAGAAGAAAAAGAAAGGCCAGATCCTGAAAGAAGGGGGAGGGGAAGACCAAGGGCGAAATAAATGAGGGAAGGAAAGGAGAAGGCTGGGTTCAAGAAGCCGAGGACAGGAACTGGAAGAGAAGGAGGGGGGGAGGGAGGGAAAGGGACAGACCTGAGGACCCAGGCCCGGCCGCTCCAGGTACTTACGTGCCCGAAGGGGTCCAGGTGATTGTTGGTGAGCTTGAGTTTCTGGAAGGAGACCAGCTGCCGCATCCAGTGCGCCCCCGTGGCCGGCGAGTCCGGGTGCACGTACAGACGGCCGGGCATGGCCGGCTCTGCTTTCCCGGTCACGGACCTGGACCCAGGAGGGGCAGAACGCCCAGCCTCAGCGCCCCGCAGTGCGGCTGGTTCGCGCGCCCGGCCTGGGGTGCCGAGCGTGACAATCGTCTGCAAACGGCCTGACCCTCAGGTTTCTCGGGCCCAGCGCGGGTATCAGGCAAGCTCCCCTCCCCAGCTCTTCTTTCTTCCACCTCATCCCTCACCCCCACACCCCCACACCAGCACCAGGGGCCCCCGCAGGACCTGGCAGCCCCTCACTGCCCACAATAGACGGGTTCTGAGAGCCCGGGTGTGCAAAAAAAGTCTCGGAAAACTCCTTGAGGGCTTTCAAAGGGGGCTTCCTCTTCGAGACTCTGCCGTCTTGGCAGCGGTGGAAGCGACCAACCCAAGAAATGGGCCTCTCCTCTCCGCTCTTGCCTGTTTTACTCACATACCACGGGCCGATTTTGCAATTTCATAAAAAGGCAGGTTCAAAGCGGGTAACTCATAAAAAGTCACCGTAAATCGTTTTATACCCCCAAATACCTCCAGTGCTTGGTAACAATACCCTTTTTAAGAAATCGACAACCCACGGGGGCAGCCGTACACACGGGCCCTTCGCTTCCTCTGAGCCTCAGTTTATTCATCTCTAAAATGGGGGCTAACAGCTGCTCTTTCTTCCTGTCAGGGCAAGGTCAAAGGGATGCAATGAGATAGGCCAGGAAAAGCCTGTCACCGAAGGGTAGGAACAAAAAGAAAAAGTGGAGTGGGTCAGTGCGGGGAGCACCCGCCCCGCGTGGCACTCTGAGGCCTACCATTTATTATCCGCGAACTTGTATCTGTGGTCATCCGCAGGGACAATGTCCATGAGGAGAATGTACTTCGTTTTGGGATTAAGGCCGGTCACCTTCACTTTGTAACTGGGAAACATCCGCCTAGGAGATGTGCAGAAGGAAGACGTGAGGGAGAGAAGGAGGGAGAGAGGGAGACCTAAGGCTAATATTCTGAAGAGCGCATCCAGAGTCTATGGAAGAAACCATTCCCATAGAAACGGGAAAGACAAAAGTGGCCCCCCGCTCCGCTCTGGCTAAGATCCATCCCGGGTTTCCCTGGAAGTTATGGGGAGGAGAAAGGCCGAGAAACCGGGCAGGCCACTGAGTCCAGCTAGGAGGAAAACAGAACACGGGAGGGAGGGCTCTTGGAGAGCCCGTTTTGAAGACCGCCCGCACGGGACCCCCATTTCAACTCCTGCTGAATGCTCTTTTCGGAGCCAGACACCTACTTGTTAAATTGGGGACAGAAGGAGGCCTCTTCCGTGAAAAAGCTGGCCTCCCCCTCTGCCCAGCCAGCTGTTTTGGTGGATATGGGCAGCGGCTACCAGGTCATGTGGACACCAAGGTGTGTGTGCCCCTAGGGACTGAACACACGTGGGTGCCCACACAGTCCTTGTCCTGCCTTCAGCCCTCCGCCCCCAGACGATAACGCGGTTGGTGACTAGATAGCGCGGTTGGCGACCTACAATACAAATCTCTTGGCAGGAATTTATTCCTAAATGCCTCACAACTTCTCCAAGGCACTCTTCCTGCGAGAGTCTAAACTCTCTGGCCCTTGGCAAAGAAATTCCACGTCCAACCAGATTTGGTTTCAGAAAGGGTCCGGGTTTGAACAAGCATGGAGGATCAGGTGGTTGGGAAACCAGTGCCCCAAAACTGGGTGCACCGTGCCCACTCCCTCTGGGCACACAGCCGCACCCCCAAATCCCCATCCTGCCTCGGGAAGCGTGCTCCCTGAAAAGCAAGCATATCCAAGGCCGGCCTGGGGTGGAAGGATTAGCTGCTGGATCCCGGCTCGCTCAGGGATGGCGGGAAGGGCTGAGTGGAGGCCTCTCCCTTCGAGCCTTGGAGTCGACGGAAGCCTCGGTGTTTATCTGCCCGACTGAGCGCGCGAGGAGGCGGGGGCTTGGGACGCCCCGCGCAGGCCTTTTATAGTTAAATCCTCTGCGCTCAGGCCCGGGGTTTAAAGGAGGCCCGGCCGCGGCTTTCCTTCCCCGGAGGAATGGGAAGAAAACCTTAGTTCTTTGGTATAAACAGAACGCGCCTCCTAGTTCGCCCAGGCCGAGCGGGGGAGCAGACATTGTTTAATTTCAAATAATAATAAATGTCACTGTTGTCAGTTTATTGCGGGAGGCTTCGGGCTGGAAAGCCGGGGGCGTCTGGTGAGGCGGCTCCGCCCTCCCCCTTCACACACTCGGTGGCTGGGGCCTCTCGGCCTCTTCGGCTTCATACACCCGCTCTGGGTCAACGCGGAGCTTTCTGCATCCCCGGGGACGCGGAGGGACGGTCAGCAAGGGTAGCGACGTGGCCAGGATGTCTCCAGGCCTGGGCCCCCGCGAGCACACTCATATACCGAGACACAGAGCTGCGCGGCTCTCCCACCCCCTTCCCCAGAAGGTCTAGCATTTCTGGCTAAAACTCAGCGAACTTTAAAAAGGAACTGCAGGGTGAGTGTCTTGGCGAAACTGCCGTGTTTATCGCTGTCTGTATATAGAGCCCGGACGAGCCCCGGGTCAGTTTCAAAGGCTTCGCCTGCTTTCTATAAACAATGAAAGAGGTAGCGAGTACATTCTACGATTCAGACCTGGGCAGTCGGGTGGAACTCTGGACCCATTCCAAGGTCAGGCCGGGTGGGAAGGAGGACGGGGGCGCGGGATCAAGCCTGAAACCGGTCTCATCTCTAGGGCCTCTCTGCACCTTTGGGTTTTCCTCATTCTCTCCCCCCTCCTCTCTCTTTTCTGGCTACGAATCTGTGCCCGTAACACAGCATCCCAAGCTCTAGGTTCTCCTGATATAAGAGGGAGGAGAATATCCAGCGGCGAGAAATGCCCTTTCCCGCCTTGACCCTTCCAGGTATCTCTTCCCCCCACCCTGATGGGGATCACAGGAGGAATTCTCTGGGCCTCTTTAACCAGAATGTGGCCAAACAAAATATCGTCACATGTCTATCTCCCTCTCTCTCTGTCTCCTGTCTCCCACAATGTCTCCATTACCTCTCCACAGAGGCAACCAGCTCACCTTCCAGCCTTGGTTATGATCATTTCCGTGCCCACTTCATGGAATTTCAGCCACAGTTCTCTTTCGTGAAGAAACACCTTGATCCCTTCCATGCCCTAGAAGAAAGAAAGTAAAGTCACACAGACAAGCCTGGGGACCGTGACCCTTCCATCCACAAACTCCCCCTGGAACACACAGCCTTCTCCTCCTTCCCTCTGGAGCCAGTGGGCAAACAAGCTAGAAACTGCCCCAGCCCCACCGCAGAGGACTCTGGGCTCTGGACCTCTGGGCAGCCCCTGCCCAGGAACCCCTCTATGTGCTCCATAATGGTGGGGGGGGGGCTTCTTTCTAGTGTTGCCTACACAAGACTAAAGAAAAAAACCCCAACTGTTTAGGGTGCTCCAAAATGTCCAGTGGAGGGGACAGGGCTGAGAAAAACCAAGTCCAGTCTCGGTCCCACTTTAGCCAGGATGCAGCTAATGAAATAAACCCTCAGTCTTGAAAACCCACTCAGGAGATTCTTCCGGAGACTCAGAGAGCCACGGGCCATCGTTCAGATTTGCAAACACTGTATACGTGCATGTTTATCCTCGCCATGGCAATGCAAATGGAGACCCAGGTGCAGTTTTAAATTTAAAAAGTACTTGTGCATTAGAATAGGTTCCCGCAGTCCAAAACAAAAGTGAATTCTCCAATAAACGTCTGTATGAATAAGCCTTCCAGGTTCTCCCCGCACCCAGCTTCCTTCACTCAAGCTGTCTTAACTGTGAGCACAGCCTAAGCCATTTAACATTTTCACTTTCGACTGAGTTATTTTACAAAAGCTATGCAAAAGAAGTATACACAAAGTCTTCCTTTTGCAATAATTTATAACCGTCTAATGAGTGGATGTGCTCTTCTGTAAAAAGGGGGGAAAAAAATCTAAGTTTCCGCAACTGCGTGCCCACTGCTTTCTGCTGCTCTACAAATAGACCTGTTTTCCTGAGACCCGTGAAGGGCAAAGTAGAGAGGCGACGAACTAGCCAGGCAGGACTTTGAAATCCCCAAGAACGGTTTCAGCTATGTCCACGCATCTCTTATGGTTGTCACCCTGCATCTCGCCATCTGACAGCTTATTAAACTTATTAAAACTCATCCGGGTCTTCTGGGGCCGCCCTGAGCCCGGTGAGTGCACCGCGCCCGGCTTCCAGACTGGCGAGCCCGCGGCTCCCTGCACCCTCTCCGCCCAGCCCTGCGCGCCAGCCGGCCAGGGCCGGCGCATGACAAATGGTGCGCCGCGCGGGTCCGGGCGCGGGCGCGGAGGAGGCGGGCGGAGGCGAAGGCTACGCAAGATCTGAAGAGGGGTCAAGCCATCGCTCACGCCGGCCTGAACCGGCCGCTGACCTGGCCCTTAATGAGACGCGCGGAGCCCGGTCTACACCTAGTGCATCAGGAAAAGAAGGATCTGGGTTCTTGTGAGCTGGCCCCAAATAGCAGGATCATTAAGGCTTCCTACCAACTTAAGTGCATTTTTAAAATCCTCTGGCTAGAAAGATAATCTTCCAAATAAAGTGGATTTAGAATACACTGGTACTTGGAGAGGCAGGGCAGAAGAAGGTGTAACTGATTGGGGACAAAAAGGAAAGAGAGCACTCAGGGGCAGTGGGCAACCGGTCCCTCCTCCCCTGAAAGAGACACCTGGGTTTCTGCAGAGAGTCCCTGGGCCCGGGTCTTCTTACCTGCTGGGTGAAGGCGGCCTGTGGGGATGAAGGGGACTTGCTGGGGGCCCCTAGCGCGCTCTCTGGCTTTGAGTCGCAGGGTAGATCCTTAGAGTCAGGTTCCAGAGGTGTGTGCGCTAGGCCAAAGCCCTCTTCTGCGTCGGCCATGGTGTGCCCAGGGCCCTGTGACCGTGCAGGGTCCTGCACTGTGGAGGGGAAGCAGAGAGAGAGAGAGAGAGAGAGAGAGAGAGAAGTTGGAAGCCGAGCTCAAGTGATAAGAGGGAGCGGTAGGGGCCCCATTCTCCAGCTACCAGCACCTCCGTTCCCAGCTGTAGGAAGCCGCGGAAGGTCCCGTTATTATGATCATTACTGTTACTTTAGGATCACGCACAAGCTCTTGTGAAAGACCCGCGTCCGCCTGGGAGGAAGCGAGGGCCGCATCTCCCTTGCGCAGGCTCCCGGCGATAAGCCAGCTGCCCGTCAAATTTGTCCGGGACTTCTGGAAGAGCCAATAAAGATAAGGCCTGGGTATTTTTGGAAGCCGTTGGGTACGAACCAAAAACAAAACAAAAAACCGAGTGTCCTTTCGAGAATTTTTTTTTGTCTTCGTCGAATTACAGGAGATCCTCCGAGCTCTGCTTATGAAAACTCGCAGGCGCAATAGTTGGGCGCTGCTGGCGAAATGTCTGAAATCACCCGCCTCTTGCAAAACCAAAAGCTTAAAAGGAGCGAGAGTTGCCGACCCAAAGACCTGCCCCAAAGACACTTCATCTTTTACCAGTTACAGGTCTTAAAATTAAAAGTCCTTTAACATTAAGGGTTCTCCCCTGTCCCCCAACCTTAAATAACGTTAAAAACCAAAAGAAGCCAAAAAGACAGCCAGACGAGAAAGCGCTACTCAGTAGTTCGTAGGGGGACGCGCTTCTGGGAGCCCGTGGCGGCTCTGTGCCGGCCGGCCGCCCGGGGCGCGCGTTCTCAGGCTTTCCCGGCTCTCTAGCCCCGGTCAGGAATTTTTGTCCAGCAGCCAGGCCTGGGGGAGCTTCTCCGAGCTTCAGCTGGGCCTGGCTCGCTGGAAGTGCAGGCCCAAACTCTGTACTGGCCAGAACAAAATGGGTCCCAGCAAAATCCTGGGCTTCGGGTGTGGATTCCGCCGCCTAGGTCCCACTCCACGCGCAGAATGGCCCGGGTTTGCAGGCGCAGGAGGTTGGAACACACACAGGACGGCAGCTGCAGAGGCGTTCAAGCCCGGAGGAGCCTGTCTCCTGCTCTGATCGCCTTCCGATCTCCTGTAAGTTCCCGAGGAGGGATTTCCTCCCTCCAACCCCAGGAAGACAGAAGGAGGTGCAAGGGATGACTCCCCCAAATTTCAGCTGCCTCTACACCAAAAAGACAGATCCCACCCTGGTCTGCAGTGGCCGGAGTCCCAGAAATGGGGCTGAGGCCCAACTCCCAAGAGCTTCCCTCACCACGCCCTTGGGGTTTTCGGGCTGCGGTGATGGGAGCCCCGCAGCCGGCTCACAACAAAAGATATTGGGGGGGCGTCCCCCCACGTGTGCTCCCGTGCACCGCGGGCCTCGGGGATAATCCCACCCCCGCCCTAGCCAGGATCCCGGGGAGCTAGGGGCTGGCGAAGGAGAACAAGATGCGGTTTGACAGAACCAGGCCGCGTCCTGGAAACCACGCCGTTCCCCGGCCAAGGCTGCCTGCTCCGCTCCACGCGCCCGGGGCTCCGGGCCTCTCGAAATCTCTGCGAGCCGGGCTCTGCAGAGAATCCAAGGCGAAGCTGCAGTACTGCCGGGCGCGCCTCCCGGAGCCCGCTGGGCCGGGGGGCTCCCTCCCGAGCCTCCCGGGCCATCTGCGGGCAAGGTTACCTCGCTCGGTGAAGCCGGTGCATTCACCACGTCCCTTGTGCTCCTAGCAGGGAAGCCGGCAGCAAGGCGGGGGCGCCGGCATGGTGGCTCCGGGTTTATGCGGGGCACTGCGTGCCCGGACTAGCGGCTACTGCTGCCTACAAAGAGCACCCACCGCTGGAGCCTCAGCAGCCACGGCCCACCTCCGGCACACACACCTCCTCCGCTCTGCGCTGCTGCTGTCTCCCTACAGATTTCCAACTTGTCAGGCACCAGACGGGCTCCAAAGAATGCAAAACAGCAGCCTCAGGAGGGACACCTTCAATAGGAAAAGCTCAGTGCCCTGCTCCTCCCTGGGACCCCCAGGGAGGGAACGTCGGGAGAGCAGAGGAAGCCGTGGGAATGGTCCAAGTCCTCTCTGAGTACCGCTTTCAGGGTTAAAGTTCCGGAATCCGAGGTAAGATTTCTCTCTCTCTCTCTCTCTCTCTCCCTCTCTCAGAAATACAAGCCGACCCAGCTGAGCTCAGTGACGTTGGGCTGCCTAGATGCTTACAAAGTACTGGAATTGCCTATCCAACTAGCTCCCACTGCAGCTGCCTCTCTCCCTCTCTCTCTCTCTCTCTCTCTCTCTCTCTCTCCCTCTCTTCCTCCCTCCCTGCCTCCCTCCCTATCCCTCCCCACTCCCTCCCCCAACCACATTTTCCATTAGATTTCCCGAACACTCACACCACAACACGACTCTCAAACTCAGACCTGCAGCTCACCCCCTCCCCTCCACCCCCTTCCCAGAGTCCATCCATCTTTGCTGCTCTGAGTGCGGCTCCGTGGCTGCAAAAAATCCTGCACAAATCATCGCAGAAACCGGTCGGCTTCTGCCCCGGGAAGCAATCTCGGCGGCGACGTGGGCCGAGCAGAGAACGGAGTCTGAACGCAGGACGCCTCCTCGGCAGCCTTGCCCGGGCTCTGTCTCCAACGCTGACCTCAAGAGGGAGAGCTGCGTGACCCCGCCTGGCCCAGCCGGCCGCCGCTAGCCGCCCTGACATCTCTCCCCCTCCCCACTCATCACCCAGACTCTCGGTGACTGCGGGGTGAAGGCAGGGTGAAGGTGGGTTGGGATGGGGGCCTGAGATCAAAGATGCCGAGAAATCGCCATTGGCCCCCACCCCCCAGGGCCACCAGACCTCCCTGGCTGGATGTGTATACAGGCAATGCCCAGTTTTATTAAAATAATCAAACAGTCATTGGGGGCCGGCTGGGGTTTTCATCTCCTTTCGGCTCCTCTCCCTGCCCGCCCCCCCCCCAACAATGTATTATTTTGAGGGTTGAGTTGAAGAGGTCAATAGAAGCGTAAACACAGTCTGTAGGTCTTAGCCTGAGCAGACCCAGATTGGGGCACCGAGTGCCTGGAATAAATGTCAGGGTTCCTGTTATCATCTCCTGTCCCCCCTCACCCTGTCCTTTTCTGGGGCTCAGATTAGAGACTTGGACCTGCAGGCCAAGGTCTGGGTAGAGGGAGAAAGGCAGAGAAATATCCTGGAGATCAGCGGCCGCAGTGTAGCCATCTGTGGCCTCCAGGACGAAGTCCTGGGGCAGGCCCGGCACCTCACTGCAGAACTCCGAAGTGAATTGTCCAACCCCTAAAAGTGGGGCAACCGCGGAGAAAACCAACCCGGGCGTTTGCTACACTTCTCACTCCACCTTCCAGGTTTGTTTGCAAACAGCCTCTCGCAGAGGCTGTTTATTTATTTGTGAAAACACCCTCACCCTTCCAAAGCGTCAGCTCAGAGGACTTTGGGCTTGCTAAGGAGGAGACCCCCGGGGCCAAAGACGGAAAACAAACATGGCTTTGGGATGAGGCGGGATGTCTGCATCTCTGGCAAGAGGAAAGGGAAATCCAGAAAGACCTCTTCAATCCCTGTAAATTCTCAGAGATTTGCGGATAAAATAAATTCTCATAAATAATCTGCAGGCCCCTCTCCAGAGAAAGAATCTCAACTCCCCCAAGTCATTGCCTGGCCAGACTCACTCAAGTTCTCGGAGCCCAGATGGGGTGGGCCACCAAGCAAAATTGGGATTTTGAAACCTCCAGGGGGAATCCATTCATGCCAGGTGACACCCAAAGGAGAAATGCAAGAGGATGCACTCTCGTTCAGCCCGGGGGGCGGAGGGAAGGAGCAACACTGTGAGGGGAGATTCAGCAGGGCCGATTTTCAGGGGGGTAGGGGGCCAGAGGCAGGCGAAGAGTTGAGAGAAACCTATTCCTCTTCCTTCCCAAAGCTCTCCAGGGCGACACTCACCTCCAAAAATCCCACCTCTTCTATCCAGCGCAGAAGCCAGGAGTGACGCCTCGCTGGGGTGGGGGGGGCTCAGGTGAAGAGTTTGGGAAAGACCCCCAGAAGAGACCCCTTTTAGGCCAAACCTTCTTCCAGCTTCTGTCAAGAGCCGCATGTACCTCCCAGCTCGAAGTAGGTTTGTGGTCTTCGACAAATTAAATATTACTGTTTATTACCAGGCATACCCCAATAAAATAAAGAGGCAACCAGGCGATACCGGCTATCTCACCAGCCGCTGCACCTATAGGACTCGGAGACGTCACGAGTCACGCAACTGGTCCGCGCGCTGTCACGCTGGACTGGGGGGCAGTGGCGGGAGGTTAATTTCTCTCCGTCTTCGCCTATCAGCCCCCGGGGTCTGCGCAGCCACAAGTCCCGGACGCCTCGACCACGGGAATAAATAAAGAAATAAACAAACCCAGCGCCCTCTGGGGAAATGGGGGTGGCAAACTTCAGACACAAACTGAGCCAAGATCGATTTTCTTCGGGAGGGGGAGGGGGGCCTTTTTACGAAGGGAGGTGGGAGCCCACCTCAGCCCACAATTGGAAAGCAATCAAGTTCCAGCGGGAGCCAGGAGGCAAGAGAGTCCTCTTATTATTTAAAAAATTACTTTTTCCCCCCGAGGAGGAGCTCTCGGCAAAGTGAATGTCGCGGCGCCTCTCTAGCTGGTCTTGTTTGGGACGCGATAACTTAGTTTCCCCTTGCAGACCCTTCGTAGAAGTAATTACTGGGTTATCGTGGAGGGGAAATGACACAGACACGCTGGGAGGGAGAAAGAGAGGCGGCTGTAGTGTTTCTGAGAAAAAGTTCATTCTGCGAATGGTCCTGTAGCTAAGTCTGGGGATGCGAAGTGGCTGGCGGGGGCGGGGTGCCAGTGGGTGGCGGGGTGGGGATGGAGAGGAGCGATTTCTGCGGAGAAAAATTATAGCGTCAGGGCCTGCATAGAAACGAGGAGCTGTATTTCGTTTTTTCATAACGTTTATTATTATTTTTGTTTTCATCTATGGGCATGATTTCTACGCAGCCCCGCGACCGGGGCGCGCGAGCTTCTGCGCGCAGCTGGAAACGCGCTCGGGTCAGTTGGGAATCGCGTGCTGCGTAGACGCCCACGGCGGCGCGGAGGAGAGCGCTAGGCCTGCCCAGCGCAGAGCGAGCGAGCGAGCGATGGGCTTTGTGGAAGGGTAAGTTCTCCGCCAAGGGGCCCCCCTAGGGAGCCGGACTTCGGAATCTAGACTTGCCCCCGGCTTCGGTGTTCGATCCCGGTTTTCGCGCGACCCCAGTCCCTAGGGCTTTCCGAAGCCTGGCCTGGCTCCAGGCCTGGTTCTTGTGGGGCTGGAGCGGCGGCGAAACGTGCAGCAACGCGGTCGACTGAGCCCTCCAAGGAGCGGAGGTCAGGCCCGCGGGGAGAGCACGCAGTTTCAGCGCGGGACGCGGGCGCCCAGGCCAGCGGGGCCTCACACCCCTCTGCTTGCGGCAAGGCAGAACCCGTGTCCCCACTCTGGCCCAGGCCACCGCGGCCTCCGCGAGCTTCGCTTTCGTTTCCCAAGTTACTCATCATGATCTTTTCCTCAACGGAGGCCCTTGGGTGTAGAGTTTGCTCCCGCATGCCAAGAGCGCACCCCGAAGTAACTTCGCCAGAAGCCCGGAGAGGAGTTGCTGTTTGACCTGTGGGCCGAGGTGGGCTAGAAACCGAGGCCTCAGCCCCGTTGGGGCAGCAAGGGGAAGGCAAAAACCCTGAGCGGGGCAAGTTCCTTTCCGTTGGATTCCCCTCTCTCAAATCCCCGTGAGGGCCCCCAAACCACCCCGGCGACTCACAGGAAGGATTCCGCAGGCTCAGCGTTCCAGGCCCGCTTTCCCACACACTCTGGAGCCCACGCCAGGGAAAGGAAAACGGACTTCAGCTACATCTGAGACTCTCCATCCTCTTCCCGAATCCTTGGGCAGTAAACCGGGAAAGGGGGTTGCAACGCGCACCCTACCTTCTTCCTTTTGTAGAACTGATGGTCTCCCTGACCCGCTCTCGGCTCGATTTTCTCTCAAAAATCTATTTCCCCCCTTTAGCCAAAGGTCTGCGGTTCGAGTACTGCAACAGAGGGAAGAACGGGGGGGGGGGGTGTGTTCCTATTTTTTTTAAAAAAGCCAAAAACGAAAACAAAAACAAAAGCGAGGACTGACCACTGTCGCTGTTGTTTTTTTCTTTACTCCTGCCCGGTTTTTTAAGAAAGACGCCGCCTTTCTTTCCTCTTAAAAGAGAACTCACTTAAGAATCCACCCCCTTTTCTGCTTCTCTCCGGATGTGTCCTGCCTGACTCGGGTCTCCATGGAAGGGAGAAAGAAAAAAAAAAAAAGTAAGGGGAAGAGCGGAGGGGGCTGAGAAAATTAGTAAGAATTATAACCACCATCGAAATGACGACTTAACTTCGACCAACGCGTTTTTCGGAGGAGAGGGTCAGGCGGATGGTGGGAATTTCCCTGGTTTCTCAGGGGTCGCCTTCTCCCCCTGCCTGGTGAAATCTGGCTGCAGGATATTTTTTCCCCAGGACCGCATTCTCTAACATCCCGATGTCTCACTCGATCCCTAGCTTTCCCTTGCTGACCGGATGCATTTGGGGAAGAGAACTGGCCGCTGCTGTTATCGGGACATCCACTATTCTCCAATCTTCCCACTGAGTTCTATGGCTACTTATTTCGGTTATCATTATTCACAATGGCATGCTGTAGAAATTTTCCTTCCCACTCACCCAAGTTGGGTGCCTGAGATGTTTATCCCCCTGCTCAGGGTCACGGAATGAGAAATAGAAATGGAACATGGTCCTGGAGGCCCAGCGGAGATAGCCAAGCTCCAGAAGGTGGTGGCAGGCCAGGCAGCCGATGCAAAGGAGCCCTTTTCTCGCCCCCTCCAATTTGGGAGGGTCCCCAGGGCAGGAGAAAGGTGAGGGTCTCGAGCTGAGAGAAGCTGGAGATTGCCACCTTCTATCCCGTGGGCTGTGCTGGGCCTGAGACCTCCAGCCATATCTGCCACCCAGAACCAATAGAAAGGCCCCTGGGTGCAGTCACCATCTCTGCTGGATCAGCATATCCCACAGCCTTGAAAGATGTGGGGAAAATTATATGAATTCTAGGGCTGTGACCCGGTAAGATAGAGACTCAGGCTAATACCTCCAGGTCTGGGAGGCAGGCTGGGGGGGGGGCCTGTCTGGAGACCCCCTCCCTCAACTGGAGGGTGCAGTGGAAACTTGGGAGCCTGCTGCTCTCCGGGGCTCTGGAAAGACAAATTTTCTTTGGCAAAGGGAACGGTGTCGCGCTGTCGACACGGCAGACTATTTTTCTTGTTCCCTCGTAAGGAGGGGTGGGGGGGGGAGAAAAGAGAGCAAGAAAGAGAGGGAAATTAAATCCACACGTGTTAAGCTTGCTCAAAGGGCCGGATTCAAAACCAGAGATGAAACTCCGACTCCAGTCCTG